TACAGTTGGCTCCGGGCATTCAAAATGTGGCCTGGGAATGGTGTTCTGGTTCAAAATGTGGCCTGGGAATGGTGTTCTGGGGAGTCCCCGGATTTCCCCAGATTCCCGCGGCACCCGTCCGGCATCTGCCGAGACCCCCCTGGGGAGTCATGATGCTGTCTTTTGAGACCACTAGAAACCTATCAGTCGTCGCTGTTAGCTAACGAAAAAATCCAAACCCACTTGGTGCCAAGCGCGCACCCACGGACAGCTTTTTAACGTCGTTCTCAGGCACGGGCGCTCGCACGCAGCCCTCCAACTCGTGACACAACCTGTGATTCCATCCGAGCTGCCACTGCAAGGAGCGAACGGCTGGGCCACTGTTTGGCTTCCAGCGTGACACTACAGCAGACGCCAGAAATGGGGGGAGGAGGAGAAGGAGGACGATATGGAACAGTAGAGCAAAGCGGGAGGAATGACCAGGGCGAAGAGAAGGAAGGTAGAGGAAGCGGAAGAGGATGCGGAACATGGCGGAGTGGGGGGGGAGGATGACGAGCAGCAGCAGCACCAGCAAGAGAAGAAGAGACGCATGAGGGAGGAGAAGGAGGAGGAAGAGGAGTAGCATTAGCAGCAGCGCCTGAGAAATGGAGAAGGCGAAGGAGAAGAGGGGAAGGAGGAGGAACAGAAGAGGAGCAGCAGGATGAGGAGTAGTAAGATGCCCGACAGGAGGAGGTAGAGGCAAGAGACTCGAGGAAGGCCGCAGCCGTCGTCGTCGTCGGAGGGCTCGGGACGTCGGCGGCGACGGCGCCGCCGCCGCCGCAGCCGATGTCGTCGTCGTCGGCGTCGTCGTCGCCGCCGCCGTCGTCGTCGTTGCCGACGTCGCCGTCGCCGTCGCCGCCGTCGTCGTCGTCGTCGTCGCCGTCGTCGTCGTCGCCGTCGTCGACGCCGCCGTCGTCGCCGTCGTCGTCGTCGTCGTCGCCGTCGTCGTCGTCGTCGTTGTCGTCGATGTCGTCGTCGTCGTCGCCGTCGCCGTCCCCCATTCCATCCCATCGGGGAGGGGCCCGAGGGACCCTGGGACTCATCCAATATGAGGGGTGGGTGGGCCGTGGGCCTGGAGCCCGGGACCAAATACTTATCTATATATATACACATATAGATGTACACACACACATACGCACATACACACATACACATGCATGCATGCATGCATGCATGCACACACGTACATACATACATGCATACATACATACATGCATACACTCATACATACGTACATACGTACGTACATACATACATACATACATACATGCATACATACATACATGCATACATACATACACGTACATACATACATGCATACATGCCCACACACATGCATGCGCACACGTACACACATGCATGCATGCATGCACGCAAGCATGCATGCAATCACACATGCATGCGTGCATGCGTGGCATGCATGCATACACACATGCATACATATATACATGCATACATACATTAATGCATGCATGTGCACACTCATATACACATGCATGCATGCATGCATACGTACATGCATGCATACATACATACATGCATACGTGCATACGTATACACGTATGTGCAATCGCACAAGCATACATGCATGCATGCATGCACACATACATACACACGCACATACACACCCGCGTACATAAGTCATGCATACACACATACATGCAAACACACCTACATTTCTGGATGATCACTGGCCGTCGACCTAAACACATCCATACATACACACCTGCATACACACATGCATACACACATGCATACATACATACATGCACCTCGACATACATACAAGCGTACATATATACACTCATACGCATTTATATTTATATATGCATACATAGATACCTGCATGCATGCATGCATGCTTACCTACATACATGCATACATACATTCATTCATGTATGTGCCCATATATACATAAGACACATATATACATACATATACATATGTATGTGTTCACACACCGATACATACATATGTTGATGTATATGTGTATATATGGTCGCCCCCAACTCCCCCAAAGCCAACAAAACCAAACAACTAACCAGAACAAGAACCACAACCATAACCAACGCCAGAACAACCGAAACCATAACCAGAACCAGAACTAGAAGAACCAAAGCCAGAACCAGAAGCAGACCCGTAACCAATGATCGTTTGCTCCTCCTCCTCCCTCTCCTCCCTCTTTGCGACTTCAGCCCAAAAAAAAACATACATAGTGCTTCCTTGAACCGAGAGCGCCAAACACTGTGTAGTCCCACCAGCCCTTTGGGCGTGAGTGGTTTAGCGGGCTCTCTCTGTTCGCAACCCCCCTTCTTCCCCTTCGGGGAGGGGTTTACCCCTCCCTCTACCCCCTCCCCCTGGACCTGGGCAGGGATTCCCGAGCGTAGTCGGGGGGGTCTTTTTCGACTCCTGGGAGGGCCCAAAAAACGACGACCCTCACGAGGATTCTGGCCCCGAGGGGGGAGGGGGGGGGGGGGAGTTTGGCCCCTCTGCTCGTCTTTGAAGCAGAAATCATTGATTTTACTACGGTGTTGGCCCCATGTTGGCCTTCTGAAGGGGGCCGCGCTCACCTTCCCTCATCGCAAAATCATTAATGTTACGAAGGTTTTGGGCTCATCTTGTCCTTCTCAGGGGGCAGCTCTCCTTGGCGCTTCTGCGGAGGTCGCAAGAGGCCCCAAGATGGCCCCAAGAGACCCCCAGGAGGCTCCCAAGAGGCCTCCAAGAGGCCCCCCAGAGGCCCCCAAGCGGCCCCAAGAGGCCCCCAAGAGGCCCCCAAGAGGCCCCCAAGAGGCCCCACGAGGCCCCAAGAGGCCCCCAAGAGGCCCCCAAGAGGCCCCCAAGAGAGGCCCCCAAGAGGCCCCACGAGGCTCCAAGAGGCCCCCAAGAGGCCCCACGAGGAGCCCGAACGACTCACATCAGGACGAGGGGCCCGAACGACTCACACCACGAAGAGCCCGAACGACTCACACCACAAGGAGGGGCCCGAACGACTCACACCAGGACGAGGCGCCCGAACGACTCACACCACGAGGAGCCCGAAGGACTCACACCACGACGCGGGCCCCGAACGACTCACACCACGAGGAGCCCGAACGAGTCACACCAGGAGGAGGGGCCCGAACGACTCACACCAAGATGAGGGGCCCGAACAACTCATTCCACGCGAAGCCCGAACGACTCACACCAGGACGAAGAGCCCGAACGACTCACACCACGAAAAGCCCGAACGACTCACACCAGGAAGAAGGGCCCGAACGACTCACACCAGGACGAGAAACCCCAAACGACTCAAATCACGAGGAGCGCTTTCTCTTCCTCCTCCTCCGCCTCGTCCGTCTCCCGCTCCCCTCACAAGGAGGATGTACAAGGAGGCGGGAGGAAGGAGGAACAGGGGAGATATGCGGGGCCAAGCGGACTTACGCCTGAAAAACACGACTGTCGGCATGCTTCGCGAGAGTTGCTGCTGTGAGATGGGCTGGTGGGGATACGCGAAGCGTAAACATTTTTTTTTTGGTGTTTAGGGGTCAGAGGAGCAAGGACATACTGTGTATGTGTTCTGTTTTTTGGGGTTTTGACAGCGCCAGTGGTTGCCGGGAGAGAGGCCCCTGCGAGCATTGGGGCTTCCAAAGCCCCCCAAACAACAAAAAAACTATGCACAGTGTGTCCTTGCTCCTCTGACCCGAAAAAGGGCCCCCAAAAACATACGCAGTGTTTGGCACTCTCGGAGCAAGGGAACACTGTATGATTCGTGTTGGTTTGGGGGGCAAGGAAACACCGTGTATGGTTTTTTTGTTATTGGTGTTGACAGCGCCAGTGGTTGCTGGGAGAGAAGCCTCTGCGAGCATTGGGGTTTTCCCCCAAAAAAAACTAACAAACCAAACATCCACAATGTTGTCTTGCTCCCCTGACCCAAACAACCAAAAAAACATACACCGTGTTTGGCGCTCTCGGTTCAAGGAAATACTGTGTATGTGTTTTTTGTTTTTCTGGGGGGGGACAGCGCCAGTGCTTGCTGGGAGAGAGGCCCCTGCCAGAATTGGCGCTTTTAAGCAACAAAAAGCATACAGTGTTCCCTTGCTCATCTGACCCCTAAAACAAAAAAAAACCATACACAGCGTTTGGCGCTCTCGGTTCAAGGAAACACTGTGTATCTTCGGTTTTTTGTTTGCTGAAGTCGCAAAGAGGGAGGGGAGGGAGGAGGAGGAGCAAACGATCATTGGTTACGGGTCTGCTTCTGGTTCTGGCTTTGGTTCTTCTAGTTCTGGTTCTGGTTCTGGTTTCGGTCGTTCTGGCGTTGGTTCTGGTTGTGGTTCTGGTTCAGGTTCAAGCTGTGTGGTGCGTCATATGTGGTGCAATCCTCCTCCTCCTCCTCCTCCTCCTCCTCCTCCTCCTCCTCCTCCTCCTCCTCCTCCTCCTCCCTCTCCTCCTCCTCGCAGGAGGAGGAGGAGGAGGAGGAATCTGAGGAGGAGGAGGAGGAGGAGAGGAAGGAGGAACGAGGAGGATGAGGAGCATGGGAAGGAAGAAAATGACGATGAGGAACATGCCACCCATGAGGGGGAGGAGGAACCATGATGATGAAGAGGAGCAGGAGGAAGAAAAGAAGGACGCTGAGGGGGGAACCATCCCTCCTCCCCCTCACTCCGCCGTTTGGGGGGTGCTGGGGGGGGGGGCGAGCATATATATATATATATATATATATATATATATGTTTATATACATATATATATATATATGGATCTCTTTGTTGCTCCCTCTGGTTTCGAGGGGAACATTCCCCAACTGGGTGGGGTGAGATGGTGGGGCTGAGATGCCATGGCCTGGTGGGGATGGGGGCAGGTTGAACGAGCGTTATCGCCGTCACCGTCGCCGCTGTCGTCGTGCCCTTCGTCCTCGTCCTCGCCTCCGCCGTCGTCGTCGTCGGGGTCGCCGTCCTCGTCGTGAATGGTGCTAGAAGGACGGCAGCCCGCGAGGCGGGCCGGCCCTCACGCCACGTACATGCTGTACTTGGGGTCGACCTGCACGGCCGGCCTGGCGCGGCCGCGCGCAGAGCCTCGGCGGACGCAGGGCGGCAGAAGATCAGCTCCTCCGCCATCGGAGGCGTCTGCCCCAGGGCGGCGGCAGGGTCTGCACCCCAGGTGCGGCGCGTCGGGGCGCACGCAGAACCACGCAGTTGCGGACAAGAGGCTTGGACGGCCAGAACGGGTGCGAACAAGCATTGGGCACGATGCCCAAGAGCAAATGTTGTCCAAAACCGACAGCGGCCGCGGATGGGCAGGCAGCCTCTCGTCTGAAATGAGCAGCGTCCGTGGCGGCGCGGACGAACACGAACTGCTGTTGGGCATCGTATCCAGACTTTCCGCACCCATGCCGACTATCCCGGAGAATGAGGGCGCGGGCTCGGTGTGGGTCGCGTGTGGGTCCAGGGTCGGTCGCGGGGTGGGTCGCCGGTCGGTCGCGGGCCGGGCCGCGGAGAGGTCGTGGGAGGGTCGACGGCGGGACGTCCTGGAGGTGAGGCGCGGCCAGAAAACCAGAGCCCCTCCTGGGCCACAAGCGGTCCTTGTGCCACCGTCTTGGCTTGACGAGCCCGTTTCCCACCCCCGCTTCCATAAGGTAGGGGAGGGAGGGGGAGGGGGAGGGGGAGGAGGAGAAAGAGGAGGAAGACCTCCCCGTCCTGTCTTCCTCCCAAGTCCTACCTACGGTAGCGGTGGTGGAAAACGGGCTCACCACTCGAGTAGGGGATCGATTACAGAATTGATGTACCCCAAACCTGATGCTCCCGCCGAATCTACGGAACAAATGTGTAATGCCCAGTAGACCTACGAACATACTGCGCGTTTCTTCCCATTCGGCGGGGGAATCAATGTTTTGGGAACCTACAAGGTACCGATACCGCTACTCCCCGGACCTCCCCCGGGGCGAGTTCTGACCAGAATTTCGAGGCGAATCTGGCGGTGGCGACGAGGGCCGCCCAGGAGGCCAAAAAGGCGAAAAGGGGGCCGGGTAGCGGCGTGGGTACCCTGTTTTCCCCCTCTGAAAATTAGAGTGGAGCAATTATGTAGCCCATCCCCTGTTCGAATCGTGGCCGTAGCTGCCCTGTGGGCAGGCTCCCCCGATGGCGGACAGAGGCACGTGCGCGCGGGCACGCAGAGACCGTCGACGCCTGCGGCAGAACGGCGAGGGCAGGGGCACCCTCGGGTGTGCTTCTGTTGGGAGGGGCCCTCCGTGCGGGGGCCCATGCCCGGCTGGGCGCGGCGCGGGCCGCCGAAGAAAGAAGCGCAGACCGCAGCTGCCGCACGGGATCGGATGTGAATGTATATGTGTATGTATATGTATACGCACATGCATACGCAGATGCATAAACAAATGCATCTGTATATGTATATGTATACGTATATGTATGTGCACAAGCATATGTAAAGGTATACGTGCATACGCACATATGTATGCATGTACGTGTGTAGGTATGTGTATATATATACAGCTTGTATCTGGTCGGTTCCCGAAGCCTCGATGGGTCGTTGGCGCGACTGGGTTGGACGGGACCTGGTTTGGCAGCGCCGAGATGTCGGCCGGCGCCCAGCTGTATACGGTAGGTTCGTGCGGCGTCGGCGCGCGCAAAGGTGTGTGACACCGCGCCGATGGTTCAACCTTGAATCGATCGCGGCCCCGATCGTTCAAGGTCGAATTCCTTCGGTACAACGTTACCGCGTCCATCGGTGCTTCCGCGTCGCAGAATTCAACCTTAAACGCCTTGGCTGGCGCCGCTGGCGCGCCAACGCCGCATGAACCTACCGTATGCAAATGTACACACAATTCACACAAGTACAAATACAATTTAAATTAAACCGGTTCAGAAACCTCGACCAGTCGTTGCCAGCACTGGGTTTAGCGGGACCTGGTTCAATGACGTGCACAGGGGGACACCCCCCCGCCCCATTTCACGAACTGGAACTGTCGCCGCCCGAAGAAGCACAAACTACGGCGGACCTGGTTGAATAATTCCGGTCCGTTCTGGGGGGCTGCAAGACACAATCGCTAGGCGGCTCTCGTTACCAGGGGTCCTAGAGATACCCGACCTGAACCCCAACAAGCGGTTGTCAACTCTTGGGGGCGCAATTTCGGACGCCCGGAACGGGTATGGAAAAAATGGGCACGATGAAACAGCAAGTTTTGTCCAAAAGCCACAACGGCTGCTGTTGGGCAGGAGGCCTTCTATATAAAATGGACATAGTATGCGGCGAAGCGAACAGCGAGCCCTGTTCAGAATGAACAAGAACTTCCGTTGGCATCCCAACCATTTTTGCCGTACCCTTTTCGATCCTCCCGAGCAATTTGTACTTCCGCCGGCCTGCGCCGTGTGCCGCCGCCGTCACCGAGTGGATCCACCCCACGCCTTGCTTTCGACACCTTTTCCGCCAGCGTCTCGCCGAGGCAAGCATGGCATCTCCTTCGATCCTCGGATGAGAGTCTGGAGTCCGCCCG